GCCCCGCGGGGCCCAGCAGCAACCCCCACCCCTCGCCCGCTGGCCCAGCCGCCGAGCCCTGGCCTCGCGACGCGCCCCGCGCCTCCCGTCCAGGCCGGTCTCGGTCTCTGCCTCTCCCCGCCCAACCCCCCTGGAGGCCCGCGTGTCGGGGTGCCCCCCCACCTCCCAGGGAGCCAGCTCCCGAGGTGGCAGGGCCTCCCTGGAAGACCTGCCTGGGGCGGGCCGCGGCGGCACGGGCCGGCCGGAGGTGCCGTGCCCAGGGGACAGAGAGGCCGAGGGCGCCGTGCGCGCGCTGCGGCTCCTGCTGGTCCTCCCGGCCGAGGGCTTGGGGAGTCCGTGCCTGAGCCTGCCGGTCAGGTCCCAGAGCCGGGTACAGTCCAGCCCGCGTGGAGCCGGCAAGATGGGGGTGTGGATGCCCCAGGGAGGGGGTTACGGCATGAAGCAGAGGGGGTGGAGGCCCAGTCTCCGTGTGGGCATGGGTTGGACAGCAGTGCTGGGGGGCCGGGGGGAGGGGCGGCCCCAGGAGGCTGCTCACTGCCGTTTGCTCAGGTGTGGCCACAGGGGGCGAGGTCCAGTTCGAGGAGCATGGTGGGACAGGGAGGGGAACTCAGGAGAGACCCTGGAACTGAGCACAGGGTGCCCCGTGGTAGGGGAGGCCCCAGGAACAGACAGGTCCCTCCAGGGTACTGTGGAGGTGGGCAGGAGCCCAGAGCACGTGCTGGGATGAAAACCAGGCAAGGGTCCCTGGAGGGCAGGGGGCCACATGCCACATAATGCCACCACCCATTGGTTACTGCAGGGCCACCGTCTCAGGAACTCCGCTGGGAAGGACAGGGTGGGGTTGCGGTGGGTAGGGGGGACCACAGCTGTGATGACGGGGGTGCAGGGTGAAGTGGGGGCGGGGCTTAGGAACAGGACAAGGGGCCGTGATTTTGGGACATGAGGTTCCAGAGGGACAGGTGTTGCTGGGATGGTCCCTTCCCTGCCCACAGGCCTGTCCTCACTTCATGGCCTGGGTCTCCTCCGGGAAGCAAAGCTTTGGCATAAAATCGTCTCCTACCCAACAAAGTGACGCGAAAGTCAGGATGGCCAAAAAACGGCCGAAAAACGCCCGGCTGTCGAGAGCCGCACACGGCCTGCCTCCCGGAGGGCCTGCCTCTGCCCCCCTCGGGGACAGGAGAGACCTGGACTTGACGACTGCGCTCCCCGGACCCGGCTGGGGACAGAAGCCTATGGTTTCCCTTCGTCCGGTGGGCGGCAGGGAGGAGGAAGGGCTGCCGGACAGCGGCCGTCAAGGCTGACCTTCATGGGGAGCCAGGACCTGGGGGGGCCAGTGTGTGGCAGAAGCCACCTGAATTCCAGGTCTCCCCATGAGATAAGATGCGCTCCTCACAAAGCAGTGACATTTAATGAAGTCTCAGGAGACACCGCAAACCGGCTTCTGGACCTGGCCTCCCCCCTCCAGACGGAAGAAGTTGGTTGTAGACAGGCCGTGCCCGTAAACCAGCTCGGAGCCAAGACGACATATCTTGGATATGCTGCAAGAGAGACAAATTTGCCCATTTGGTAGCAGAGTGAAGAGATTCTTGTCAGAACAGGAATGACACATGAAGGCGGCCGACCACGTCCACGACTCAGCAGCAGCAGGAAACACGAGGGGCCGGAGGGCCGGGGGGGCTGGGCTCTCCACAAGGGCCACAGCACAGGGAGCAGGAGCTGGGAGCGTCCCCAGGGCCTGAGTTCGGAACGAGAAGCCCAAGGGCTACTGAGAGTCTGCCGGGAGCGAGACCCAGCAGCCAGGGACGTGCGTGCGGAGTCCCACAGGTGCCAGAGTACGTCAGGCAGGGCGGATGGCAGAACGGTGACACGGGAGAGGCTGCAGGGGACGTCAGCAACGAAAGCGGTTTACTCGTTCATCCACGACCGGCTCCGCCATCGAAGGGCGGGGCGGGGCGACTAAACTCTGCCCTGGTGGCCGAGGGAAGGTGATGAATGACACGGGACAGCTACGCGGTCTGGTGAGGAACACTGGTGGTTCAGAGGGGTCAGCACCAAAAGCGGTGCACGAGGCTCAGGCCGTGGCCCCGGGAGCCCAGGGCACGACCCACCCAGCATCAGTCAGGGCGGAAGGCGGGCCGGACGGGCCCCGCGCAGAGCCTCCCCGCCTCCCGGGCCCCGTCCCCCCGGACGAGCAGGCACAGGAAAACGTTTTCAAACCTAGAACCCGAGGTCTCTAAAAATGTGAAAGCTGACCCTAACCCAGCTGCTGAGGGTGGGACGCAGTCGACGGGCTTCCGGGAGGAGTGTCAGCCCCTCGTGCAGAGGAGTGGCTGAGGCCACGCGGAGGGCGGAGGGCGGAGGGCTGGCCGTCCCAGCACCCTGGCAGGGCGATCGGCGAACCCCGGACCTCGGGCGACTGCCGCGGAGTCCATGAGGCCGCTCGGCAGTTGCCGCCTCTGTCGTAGCCGCTGACGCTGTGAGTGCGGGGCAGGGGCATCTTCCCGCCCAGCATGCGGCTGGCCTGGGCAGGGGCGGTCCCAGACACCAGTCCCCCACTTCGTCATCAGCGGTCTGGCGGGGGGAGAGGGGGTCCTGAGACCCTCCAAAGCCCTGCCTAACCTTTCCCTGTCCGCCCACCACCCTACTGTCTCTGGCCTTCCACCCACTCTAGGGAGGCTGAAAAATGCACAGGCCTGAATCAAAATAACTTTCAGGGGACCCCAGAGAGAATGAGGGCACCCGGCTGTGTGACCTGGAAAGGCTTCCTGAGTCTTGCAGGAAGGTGGGGTGGGCGGGCAGGAGGCACCGAGCACCCAGGCAGCGGGCGGGGGCGTGAGGCCAGGGCAGCACTGCCTCAGCCCGGTCTGGGGCTGCCTGGCTCACCTTGCCCAAAGCCCCTTCCTCCTCGCCAGCCCCGCTCGAGCGCAGTCAGCCTGACAGTCGGTCACCGAGTCCAGGGGATAGCGCCCACCCTGCCACTGTCCTTCCATCCAGGAGAGCGAGGAGCCTACAACCACCAACCTCCTTCTTCCCCTCCTACTTCCACCCCGCATCCAGCTTGGTCTCCCCAAAACGCAGCCCTGCCTCAATACTCCCAGCTCAGAAGCCTCCCACCTGCCCCGCCCCAGCACAGCGGGCCCAAGGGCCAGCTCCTCGCAGCTCCCCCAGACCTCTGCCCACACTGCCTTCTTGGCTGGTCCACCAACAAGCTCACTGTGCAGGGGTGGGGAGGCACCGCCTCCTCCACGAAGCCATCCCTGTGTTCAGCGCCCCCCTACCCCCTGCAGCCCCTGGGCTGCTCCCCATTACAGTGTCGCCCTTGGGTTATGTGTGCCATTGTGGGCCTCCCGGAGTCAGGGCCCAATGTGAGACCAGCACCGTAGGGCTGGACAGGCACCAGTACCTGACAGTCCATGACATCAAAACCCCGGTCTCCTGGAGGCCTGCTGGTCTCAACCCCCTCGCTGCCCCGTGCAGGTCGGCACCCAATTCCTCAAGGTGGCCACGCTCTCCAGCCCAGACGCCTTTGCACAGGCCAGCAAAAGAGCTGGTCATGAACTTGGCCCTCCTAGGCTGCCCGCAGCTGCCTGTCCCCAGGATGCTGACCCTCGGCAGCTGTGTGCAGCCTCTCCTGGCATAGCCCCGCCCTGCCCTGTCTTCCAGGCCCCTCCAGGTGCCTCTTGGCTGGGCTGGGGCAACACCCCCATCCTGGAAGTGGCCCCCAAGGCCTCAGAGTGCATGCTGTGCAGGGGGCAGCCAGTGGTGCCCTTGGACCGGTTTGCTCATCCCTGGGCTGGTCACGCTTCCCGAGTGGATGTGAAACAGCCCAGAGTGACCCCGACCTGTGGCAGTCTCCCCCAGAACCCCCAGGAAAGGCTCTGCAACACATACATCAGCGGAATGGGCTCTTAGGGGGGCCGGCACCTCGAGGCCTAGGGCTCCAAGGTCACGTTCTGCCAGAAAGGTGAGCTCCGAGCCAGGAAGGCATGGAAGGCGTGGGTGGACTCGGAGGATCTGGGTGGGTGGGGGATGAGCACATCCTTGTCCACGTCCTCAGACACCAGCTGGGCCACAATCTGCATGATTTCCTGTGAAAGGCAGAGGGGGCAGGGGGCAGGGTGGGGCGGGGCACGGTGAAGCTGGAAGGGGACCGCCCCCGCGCCCCACCGCTGCCTGCCCCGCGGACCTGGCAGTGGAGGGAGACCCCCGCGCCCCAC